AGAGAGAGAGAGAGAGAGAGAGAGAGAGAGAGAGAGAGAGAGAGAGAGCATATAACTGAATAGGGAGGAAGGCAGAGGGATATAAGGAAAGGCGAAAAGGAAAGAAGTGTATCTATTGGACGGGGCCATGCAAACTAAATTATTACATCCAGACTCATTTGCACATGTGAAAGTGCCGTTTTGTTCTTTTATTTGATGTAAATCGCAAAGTAAGGTCCAGAGAGTAGCCTCATACCAAACCTGTCAACATGCTAAAAATAAATCAAGAAAAAAGATTTGTAGATTTGTAAAGGTCAGAGGGAGGAAAACAGCAGAGCGCCGTAGGGCAGAGGCCGCATGTCGGCCAGTTAGAAGGCTTTCTGTACAGCTACTTTTGACAAATGTGATTGTTGACTGTTACAGAAGGAGCCGCTCGTATCTTCCGCTGCATCAAGCATGCTGCTTTAAACACACAGGCTTTAATGTGCATAAGCATACATTGTGAACTACTGTCATGCTCATATAAAAACACTGTTCAAATATCGCATAAACTCACTTGTTCAAGGACAAAGCTATTTTACACACCCCGCCCCACCCACTCTATCTCATCCCTCACACACACACACACACACACACACACACAGTCTGGGTACATCACAGTAGACGATGGGACGACATCATGAATTAAGCGAAGGTGAACGACAGCTTCTCCCCCCTGGGAGACAAACGCTCCTCCCTTGCTGTCTCCCCTTCCCCTCCCCTCTCAGTCTACTTATCCTCACTTCTTCTGCTTTCATTCTACCTCCATTCCCCAAGTGCTTCTTTTTCATTCCCTACCTTCATCTCTGACTTCACAGCTTCCCTTCATCTTTCTTTCTTCCCTCCACCCTTTGCTTCCTATCTCACATTCACTTACCTTCTCTCTCCATTTCGTAATTTCCTGGATCGCTGCCTCTGCAGTCTCTCTCTCTCTCACCTAGACACATACTTGCACACAGAGAGATGCAGTCTCTCCCCTCATCCATCTCACCGACGTAGCACCATATCCTTCTTAATATGCCAGCCATTTCTAAACTCTTCCTTCCACTTCTCCTTTGAGTCACCTCGCTGTAGACTCCCCTAATCTATTATGTATCTAACTTCTCTCACCTCCTCTGGCCCTAATAAACAAATAAATAGATAGACAGATACAGCGGAGGTGATCTCACAATATCATTACAAGTTAATCTAAAAATTGTGGAGCGTTCACAGGTCACCTGTACACATACAGAATAGAACTTAGTGGATTATTATCCGAGTGTGCCCTGACCATTCTGGGTGGTGTCTATCAAGTGCAGTGGAGCGCTTCCACCAAGTCCAGTCTGGAGGGGAGAGGAAGGCAATTTATGTCCATCAAAGAGTTGAACTCCACCTCGGGGACAGGATGTGATGAGAGCAGAGGACCATGGCCTGCATCCTAAACAACTCTATGGTCTACTCAGGCCTCAACATGGGACTCCCAAACAATTGCTTCTTCCCGAGAAGGACTGGATGTTGAACGGCGAAGTGTCCGTCGCACTGACGATCGACAACAGGTATGAAAACTTGGCATTAATGCTTGGTCAGATTTTGATTAAATTAAATACATTTTGAACTAATGATGGCGATAGATGAAAGGTGAAAATGGAAAGTCAGGGGATCACGAAAGACGGTGGGATTCATCCTCTGGGGATCATGAATGTCTGTACCTAATGCTGTGCCAGTAGATCTAGTAGTTGTTAAGCTATTTCACTGGATGAATTAAAACTTTGCGTTGCTGTTGGCACCATAGAAGAAGTGAAGGGATCACCAAACCAGTAGGCTTCATCCTCTGGCGGCCATGAATGTCTGTATAAAATGTCATGGGAATCCATCCAATAGCTGCTGAGATATTTCTGTCAGGACCAAAGTGGTGGACAGACAGACAGACAGATTGACTACTGCATAGAGACATTATCATCACTTGAGACAAAACACAAAAGTGCTGAGTCCCCTCGTCTTCTCCCACCTAAACCATTAATGTATGAACTATTACTTTATACATTTTTAAATTATAGAATAGGCAAATGTGAGTTTGTAAGTAGCACCTCATCAATCCGTAAATAAAATGCCTTTATCTGGTAGAACACAATGAATTGATGCACTATCCCTCCCTCCTATTAAATATCTCTGGTTTTTTAATGAATTAATGAGTTGTTTCCTCACGGTTAATCAGAAATATGAGTTGCTGTGATGACGTAGTCAGTAGGGATTCCAATAAACAAAAACAATCTGACCAGTGCTGTTGAAACCCCAGGATGAGTATCTGCTCCTGTCATGCTAGACATGCTGCATGTGCGTTTTACTGGATCACAATTCCTGCACTGAAAATGTTTGTCACTACCTTCAGGCAAAATCAGAAAGAAATCAATGCCGGCCTCTGCTGCGTGGGCTACCCTTCAGAGATCTTAGGGGATAGAAGAGACAGACTATCGATCACTTCATCAATGTACTGTTACTTCAGGAGGAGGAGAATAAAGGCTGTTTTCTGAGGGTGAGAGGAGGGGTTTTGTGATTTGGTACACAAGGTCAGGGATAACAGCTGAATACTGATATAACAGTGTAGCAATACCCATGTTGACAGTTGTTCCTTTAAACACCTTTCCTTTCCATGTACCTTCACTGCCGCAGCTGCAGAGGACCTGACATGCAAACAAAAACATGTGCATCTTTACCCCTATATGTTTCAAAGCCACACACACACACACACACACACACACACACACACACACACACACAC